TATATTCTCAATCATACCCATCAAAAACCGCTTCGTTTGGGGCGGGGGGCAGGGTTAGAACATACACCTATGGTTTTAGATGTTATTTGTCGTTATAATGCGGTAAATATTCTTTTTTGATAAAATTGAACCGAAGAGGTAATGAAAACACTGAGTCTCATTCATTGATATTTCTTAAAAATCTCATTTTCCTTAGAATGTCTAGTATTATGTTTTACATTGCGAATGCGGGAGATTTAAAGGTCTATCATGAAATGGATAATTTTAACGAGTATTGAGTGAAATTCAACGGTCTGTGGAGACATTATAGTCTTTGAATAATGAATTAATTTCTTTGAATCCTTCTTGATTGCAGATCAGGCCTCGTATTGTGCAGAGGGAAGGATTTTTATTCGAAACCATTAGAGGGAAACTTGCCGTCTCCAATGAGATCTGGCAACAATTTTTCTACCCCCGAATGCAAAAGATATCACAACACGCATACTTTCAACCTTCTGTGAAATGTTCTGTAAGGAGAAGGATAACTACCTTCACCTTCGCAACCCCCTGCACTCGGAAAGAAATTATTGGCACGTAACCCGCGTAAAGAGTGTTGTCACATCACACGCATCAATACGAAAAATGGACGGCTGGATTTTCATTTTAGCACTCATTCCGATGGCGAAAGTGCTTGTATTTTGCTTGACAGAGAACTTCCTTTCGGTGTCGTGAATGTTACAAGAAAAAATATAAATAAATAAACGAAATAAATAACAAAATGATCCTCACTGAGAAAGAACGGAAGATCAAAAATGTGTAGTTATAAAATTGAGATACCCAAATTGAATGTATGAGAAGTCTTGTTGGAAATTAACTTCAGTTGTCAGAAGGGCCATGAATGAAACTAAAAAAAAGATAATCCTCTGCGCAATTATCTATCCAATTATGAGAAAATTATTTCAAAAGTTGCATATCAGAGAATCTACAAAGGCCTGAAATTCGTTGACCAATCAGAGTGCGGCCTTTTTTGTACTAAAAAGATTGAGATGGCAATAATATCTCACTATGGAGGTACTTTCCAACGAGAGTGCTACAACTGACGAATCCCGCACATCTCTGAAGAAGTTAGAAAAGCGAAAGTGCCTTCAATTTTGAGCATGCAACAAGCACATCCGTGAAACACGAATAGTTGCATGAAAGTGTCACATTGTCACAACCAACTCAGATCGAGATACTTCGTGGGCCAAGATAATAACCGATTTGAATCGGTCACTCTAAAAAAGACCCGAACGTTAGAAATTATAATAGGAAAAAACAGTAAAAAACTTTTTAATTAACGCGTTCTAAATTTCAAAGATCGGAAATATTAAAGCGATAAATTAAGCAATCAAACTATCGTACAATTTACGATTTACTACGGGTCGATTATAACTGTCCCTAATGTTTTTTTCATAGCTGGCACTTAAGTAATTTAAAGAATGACCGATTAAATTATTGGCGTTAAATATTTTGTTTTGCGTCACTAACTGGTAAAACTCTTCCTGTGTAGGTACTTCGCGATTAAAGTGCTACAACTGACGAGTCCCGTGCTTCTTTGAAGAAGTGAGGATAGCGAAAGTGCCTTCAATTTGGAGCACGCAATACGCACAACCGTGGAACACGCGATTATATAGTTGCATTAAACTGTCACACAATCAACGCAGGTCGAAATACTTCGTGGGTCGAGATAATGGGCCAAGGGACATGGAATGAATAAAAGTACCAAGTTATTTCCCAAGTAAGTAAGTAAATAAGTAAGTAAGTAAGTAAGTAAAGTGAGTAAGTATTTTACCTCGTAGAAATTTTACATTCTACGTAGTTCGCACAAACAGACATTTGGAAATTAACTCCTTCGTGATGTATCAACAGGTACACTTAACACTGATCAAATGACGTATAAAAAATGACTGTGTTTGGACTCTTGCCATATCTATATAAATAAAATCGTTGGGGGTTTCACTGTAACGCTTATTTCTGGAGTTCTACCGGACCGATTTCGACGATGCTTGACTCTGGTTAAAGCCCTTGACGTGTCGATGTCCGCAAAATTTTCAGACTTCCAAATTTTTCAGCCTCTTTCGCTTGAAACGCTTTTAAAGCCAAATCCACCCCCCTCCGACCTTAAGTTTCCGAGAGTTGCGGTATGTTTCCGNATGATTAAGAAGACTTATATCATAACTTAATCATGAGATTTACTTTTCAGGTGTTGTGTTCTTAACATCTAGTCATTAGAATCTACACCAACGTAAAATTTTGAAGAAAAAACACACGAGGAAGTGTTTCATTTGTACCTTATCGAGTGCCCCATAGAAGAATTTCAGCAAAATAAGATAATGTCTTTAATGCCTGTTTTATGTGTTTGTCTTTTTTTGCTCGTCTTTAATAAGATGTATTCTCCAAAAATTCAGGATCATCCAGGAAAGGAGAACCATCGAGATGCTGAACGGGGTGCTCTGAGATCAGAGTATTTCAAAAGCAAACAGGTGCACGTGGTTACCAAAAAAAAAAAAAATTATAAATTTAACATTCTGAGTCACTGTTTTTAAAGAAGAAAGTCCACCGATTTGGGTGTTTTTTTCACCCTATATAAGCATGAACATGAACTAAGGAACATTAAAGGTCCTTCTCTCAGGAATTCCCGGTCGAAAACTCCTAATCTATCTTTTCCATCCAACTAAATTATAATAATTCTATTAACAAGAATATTACCCCTGTGCGGATTAAGGTTTTTTTACCAGTTCAGATTTTGAAAACTCGGGCAAACTTTCGCTTTTGATTTGACGGCGGTGTTATCCATTCTCTTGCAAACGATCGAGTTTTTTTTCAAGGTCACGAAAAAATCCCACGAAACAGTTCTCTGGGCTGCTGCGCTGACAGCGGGCGCGCATCTCCTGCGACTCTTAGCGTTGCGTAGGCACATCCGTGCATGTTGGTCGGGAGAAATTATGCACGATGCACGGGAGGTGTGGGCGCGATAACGCCGCGTTATAGGCAAAACAAGGCGAGAGGGCCGTTACGGAACCTGACATTCGTAAATTGCCGCGATTATGCACGCCGAGCAGTGTCGACCGAAGACGAGCAGCAAAAAAACCGCAAACTTCGGCAGAATATGACGTCGGAATATCTCGCACAGCTGATCGCGGATTCCGTCAAGATTCCGCAAACTAAGTCCGAAGTTCATCCTGCTGTTTTCGACGTGTTTTTATGTGGGGTTTTCCTCCTTTTTCATTTTGATGTAGGGGCAACGTCTTAGCCTTCAGTCAAAATTTGAAGTCTCGACTTGAAAAATTGGACCACGTTAGGCAGAAAGAAACCGAGCCACATCAGCTATTGCCCAAATTTAGTCGGACAATGTAATGATTTACATGTAAACGGTTGCGAGGATTTTTGTGCAAATTTCAGTGAATTTCTGCATAGCACGAAGAAAATTCCTCACAATTTTCGAAGGGATCTACACAAGCGTTCTATTGTTAAAAATTAATTAAATTAGGCAATAGCTGATGTGGCTTGGATCATTTCTACAAAAGGTGGTTCAATTTTAGCCTTTTTAGTGATTATGCAAAACATCCTGAGCACCATCCTGGAAAGTCGTTGTAGTCGCGTCTTCAAGAGGAGAAGTAAATTGTTTGGAGGGAGCAACATTTCGATGGATCCTCCAAAGTATGCTAATCAAATTCCTCCTTCCCCCAAAAAAGTTAAATTAAATACTGGAGAGATAAACCCTAGGCGGACATCAACTTCCGCAAAATTTTACGAGTTCTAATCAGACTTATTTGGACGTACCTGAGGACTATGCCAAGGGGTTGGACAAAGTGCTCAACTACTCATCTCATCTCTCTTCAGGCACTGCTATGTGAAAATAGAATGCACTCGAATATGGTACTGCCGCGATAAGAAAAAGCAAGGTATGGTACCAAGGTACATAGTTTTCCAGTATCTCTTCAAGCAAACTTTTTTTCATGAAGAAACGAGGGTATTTGTCATAGTTGTTGTTTTACTTCATACGTTAATGATTTTTTCTCAGATCTTTGATTAGAAACGTCCACTGATTTTCCTCATGAGGGAGCGTTTACTTGAAGATGAGAAACTGAAAAACTTTATCTCACACACTATGCATTTCCCAGCACTGAGATGTGTATGTGTAAAGCCCCGTTTCTGAATGATACCTCATCCTAGATTTTCTTATTGTTGCCAGAACAAATATCTACTATGAAACAGTTGTAATAACGTCTACATCGGCTATAACCACTACCAATAAGAGCATTTATTTCAATAGTATTTTCCTTCACAGTTTGCAGCATAGCGTAGAAGATGCCGGTCAAAGATTTCATAATCGATAATTTAATTAACGTACATTCTGAAGCATTCATGAATTGCACTTTGCATCGACGTTTAAATCGTCTTTGAAAACTTAACTTTAAAGACCTCCCTTGAAAAAATTACAAATTCAATTTCCATATTTTGCTTTTAATATTTCTTATTCTTTTTTTAAACAGGCAATATGGCCTCAAGTCATTCCATCAGCTTGTTCTGATACAGGGCCGGATTTAGGACTTTGGGGCCTGTAGGCGCAGTTTGTGATCGGGACCCCTCTAAATGTGCACCTCCTCAAGAAGGGGAGGTATGGTGGTGAACGTGCCCTTTAGAAGCAAGTTCGGGTGGCCTCTTTGAGAAAAATTGATGACAGCTCTATTTGTCACACATTCTGAGGTGCAAGAAGGAAAGAGGGCCCTTTCATACTTTGAGCTAACCAAAAATTTCGGAAATTCAAACAATTTTTTTGAAAACATCTTAAAAAGTATATGCAGAGAGAGGAAGGAAAAATACCACGTAGCGAGGACCCTTATTCATACAGAGTAAGATGTTTCGATTTTTAACCTTTTCAGATAAGTTGAAAAACTCCAATACTCATGAATCTAAGATACCGCCAAGAGTATATTTAAGAAAAAATTAAAAAAATAAATTTTGAAATGAATACTTACAGAGAATAATTTACTTTCGGTAAATGGAATAGAACCCTCATCTTGTAAGACCAGAATTCACGGTGAGATCGAGTAGAACACCTCCTTCGCCGATTAAAACACAGTCACTTTTCACCGCTTCCGTTTTTAGGTCGTCAAATTTCGAAACAGAAAACAAAGTAGTCTACTTTCCTAAACACAATAAATTTTGAGACACGGTTTGTGTTCGGATGTCACAGCGAAAGTACTGACCGATAATATTAACTACTAAAAGGTCCACAAGGAATTGAAACTCGCACAACTTCTATCGCTCATTCGGGTATCATGGTTCAGTTCCAGGTTGAAAAAAAACACGTCATAGATTCTTGTTGGATTTCACTCCGCTGGTAAGCTCCCAATTCTGCCTTCACTTTTTCATCGATTTATATCGATTTTATTTTAATTTCACTTATCAATATCTTTCGGATATCCTCAATTGATTCCAAATCGGTAAATCAAAATTTTAACACCTCTGTAAATAATAATTTCTCTTTTTCTCAATTTTTTAATCTTGAAATGATCGTCACCGCGAGTCAATAAAATTCACTCCGAAAAATGAGGAAGTCCGATTTCTCGCATTTCACACCCCGAATTCAGAACATTTGAAAGCGAGTTATGTTCGATTGACGTCACGTAGAAAATTGTGCAGGCAGCGTTGACTCACACTTTCGCGCTTGCACTTTCGTTACTGCACCGAATTTTTTCCGGCCGGAATTTGACGTCGCTCGAACTAGAATAGGCCACTCGGACTGCGCTCTTCTGAGACGGACTACCGATTACTCGGACTCTTTTAGCGAGCAGCTGCCGTAATGTTCATCTCTTATGTTTATATATTATCCTCTTTTTCGCGTGTGCCTCCCTCCTCCCTCCCTTTCTTCCTCCTCTCACCTCATCCGCTCTCCCGGCCACTGGTGGAGGGATACGTGGTGCCCTTTGCTGCCGCGATCGGGGCTATTTAATTTAACTCGGCGAGCACACTCTAATCCGACGTGGAATTGAGGCGTTGGGTGCAGAGAGGGAATTTTTTGATGAAATCTCCAAAGAGATTTTCTGAAATTTTTCGGGTTCATCATTGTAAAATCCTAAAGAAAATTCAGTACACGTTTCAAAGAATGGAGAATTTGCATGCAAATTTTGTATCGCTTTATCTGAAAGTGCGTAAAGAGCTGAGTTCACAGTATTTTTTATAATTTTTTTCTGATATGGGGAAAAAGTATAAAAATTGATTTAAAGTGAGAAAATGCACACCGCCTAGTGACGTCATCTGGCGGCATTCTTCTGCAAGAATTGTTCAATTCATGAACCAAGGGCATCTTTGTGTTCAGTCCACTCAGTAATTTTCACTTAAACACGAAATTCATCAAATTTCAGACACTTTCAAATTCTCTATTCCATATATTTGCTTTGATCATAATGGATGAAATGGAATTGGGGCGTTAGGTTCAGAAGGAACATTTCTTGGTTGCGACGTTTTGAATTCTCCATCGCTATTTTGTATTTTAGAATGGAAACAATTGGGTAAATTTTCTGAAATTTTTCGGTTTCAGCATTGTAAAATCCTGAGAAAAAATTAGTAAAAATTTTAAAGAATTCCATACATTTGCATTAATCATAAATGATGCAATGGATTTAAGGCGTTGGGTGCATACAAGGCACTACTTGGTTCCGGCGTTTTGGAATCTCCAGCATGCTAATGTATATGAGAGCGTGAATCGCGATATATCCATTGTTATGCCATTTAAACCTATGGTAAAGAATCGATTATTAAGGTGTTCGCTGCGAACACACTGTTTATCGATACTTTTCCATATGTTTAAATGGCATAACAATCGATAAATCGCAAAGTACGCCACGCCACTGTTTTACATATCATAGGAATCCCAGGAACAACGTGAACCGTTGTAGTCGGGGGGCATACGTAATCCCGTGTGCAGATTCGTGAAGGCATATTGTGTGATACATCAATCTCTTCGTTTTGATGTCTAGAAAAAGAAAATCGATGATGGCCATCTCAAATTTCATACAAACCCCCCCAAATTCAAGATGGCGGCCAAAATGGCGGATTTGGGGTAAAAAAATTTAAAGTTTGCAAATACGTCGTGTCGGGTGTCGTTTCTTATGTATTTTTGATCGTAGAATCCGAATTTTCAGTCAAAAGTTAGCCCAAAGGTCATTTTTAGGCCAAAATCCAAGATGGCGTCCAAAAATACCTCTTACGGGTACTAATTTGCCTACTCGGGTCTACATGCATTGTGAGGTATCAATTATTAGGTTTTCAGGGTCGTAGAGTCCGAAAATGAGGTCCATTTTCCGCTGCGGCTCTCAAGAAGCCCTAAAATCAAAGATGGCGCCCAAAATGGCCGCCGGTCTTGCGGATGAAACTGCCATTTAAGGCAGCTATAACAAACAATACGTTCAAAATTAAGTTTCTTGGGTCAAGAAGTTCGAATAGGAGATCAGATGTTTACTCCTACAAAAAATTAAGCCTCCGAATCGAAAATCGCTGCCGACATTGTTGCCAGTTAAAGGCGCAGACCGGTAAATGACTGATATTAAGAGATTTGCCGAAGGAGGGGTTTCGATAAGGGCCGTTGTTGGGCCCATACCCTGAAATTCTTCAATTTCACGATTGTTTGCTCATTTAAAGTCTAAAGTTTGCGGAATGTATCATGATTTGGTCATTTCCGGTCTATTTAGGGGTCTAATACCGGCCTAAACATGAGACTAAAGGCCGATTTTGGCGAAAAATGCGGGTTTTTTTACATTCGACGTGACGCTGTTTCTTAACGATCCCATCATCGGAGGAGATTGTTGTCCTTCAAGTACGTTCATTAAGGATGTAAGATAGTCACTTTGCCCAATTTTCGTTGATGGCAAACCTTGCGCTCAGAGTTAAAACGATCTTCTTAGAATTTTCTTGTTTTTCATCATTATTTAAAATGGCATAAAAAGGGCGACTCATCTTAAACCAGAAATAGATTCATTGGTGGAAAATGTACGCAGCTGGTCATAACTGTCCTCCAAAAAATTAATGGATTAAAGCCTCCCCCCCCCCAAAAAAAAGGAAAACCTGTGTTGCCATATTTTATTGCCTAACATCACAGAAAACCGCGTGATTATTTCAGTATTTGGAGGCTGTTCTTCGTAGAGCACATTTAGCAAAGCTCAAAACCCTTGATTTTTCATACGTTACGATCGCATGATTAGTGATTATATAAATGCAATGGAGATGTTGCATGTGTGAGGAATTTGCAATTTGACTATGGATTCTTATGTAGAAGTTCGCGAGAAACTCGATGGTGCCAATGGCTTTCTCTGAAATCAACTTCCAAGCTCAAAAAAAGCTCTTAAGTTGAGACCAAAATGGAGGGGATATCCCGCGCTATCCTGAGAGTCCACCTGTACATCAAGACAAACTCTCCATGCAAAGATAGGGAGCAAATACATTAGCAAGGTTGCTGTGTTTTCTGTTGTGGAGTCCCCAAATAAAGTGGTAGCCCTGTGAATGTACTTGCTCCTTATCTTTGCATAGAGAGTGTGTCTTGATTTAGGGGTGGACTCTCAGGATAGTGTGGGATATCCCCTCCATTTCGGGCTCAACTTGAGACCTTTTTTTGAGCTTGGGAGTTGATTTCAGAGAAAACCAGTGGCACCATCGTGTTTCTCCCGAACTTTTACGTAAGAATCAACAGTCAAATCGCAAATTCCTCACATATGCGAAATCTCCATTATCCATCATTATTTTGTTTATTACTTGTAAGTATCTGTAGAGGTTCCCATCGTGGCGCGGCATTCGCACATATCATCGGTAAAAATCGAGAAAAATCCTAGTTGGCCGAGGATTTCAGCCACTTTCTCGGAATATGCGCATTTTGAAATAAATATGTAAGACTCGAATTACAGTATTCAGAGATGCAAGTAGATTATATTTTGTGTTAGTGATAATTGCTTTAAAATTTTGGGCTTGTAGGTGGCCTATTATCTTACGAATTTTGTACACGATATTTACAAAGGAAGGTGCAACTTTGAATCATTGACCATGATCTGAGATCCGAAAAAAAAGTAAGCCATGTGTCAGAATCACGAGTGCTTAATGCTGATTTTTCACCACCCTGACAATCCCTGCCCCCCGCCATTCTTATTGCCTGCGATCGATCAGAATTCTGCTTCCTAAAAATAATTTGAAACCCTGGTTTCCCTCACTTCTGCCCAGCCACCTAACAGCTTCCTCATCAGTTGCTTCTTCATCAGGTTCCCTGTCTCCTGCATCAAACCTCTTGTTTGGAGCTGCCATGTCATAATTTTAGAGAAATGACGCATGCATGTTAATCTAGCAAACGCTTAGTTTTTCTGGCTCAGACTTATGTCTGTAATGAGTGAGGCACCAAATGAAAGATGCAATATGAGCTCAGCAGTTGACGACTCTATCGCCCACTTTGCACAGGTAATACCACCCGGATAAGAACATGTTCTATGTCGTTTTGCCTTTTAACCAATATTACACATTTTATTGCAATGAATTTTTAGTTTTGGATAAGGCTAACATTCTCAGCGCGATGATAGTAGAATTCTCATTTCCGTTTCAATGTTGCATTTTTCTCGATTTTTACCAATGATATGTAGGAATGCCGCGCCACGATAAGAGTCTCTATAGATACATACATGTAATAAACAAAATAATGATGGATAATTGCATTTATATAATCAATAATCGTAACGTATGAAAAATCAAGGGTTTTGAGCTTTGCTAAATGTGCTCTACGAAGAACAGCCTCCAAATACTGAAATAATCACGCGGTTTTCTGTGATGTTAGGCAATAAAATATGGCAACACAGGTTTTCCTTTTTTTTGGGGGGGGGGGGGCTTTAATCCATTAATTTTTTGGAGGACAGTTATGACCAGCTGCGTACATTTTCCACCAATGAATCTATTTCTGGTTTAAGATGAGTCGCCCTTTTTATGCCATTTTAAATAATGATGAAAAACAAGAAAATTCTAAGAAGATCGTTTTAACTCTGAGCGCAAGGTTTGCCATCAACGAAAATTGGGCAAAGTGACTATCTTACATCCTTAATGAACGTACTTGAAGGACAACAATCTCCTCCGATGATGGGATCGTTAAGAAACAGCGTCACGTCGAATGTAAAAAAACCCGCATTTTTCGCCAAAATCGGCCTTTAGTCTCATGTTTAGGCCGGTATTAGACCCCTAAATAGACCGGAAATGACCAAATCATGATACATTCCGCAAACTTTAGACTTTAAATGAGCAAACAATCGTGAAATTGAAGAATTTCAGGGTATGGGCCCAACAACGGCCCTTATCGAAACCCCTCCTTCGGCAAATCTCTTAATATCAGTCATTTACCGGTCTGCGCCTTTAACTGGCAACAATGTCGGCAGCGATTTTCGATTCGGAGGCTTAATTTTTTGTAGGAGTAAACATCTGATCTCCTATTCGAACTTCTTGACCCAAGAAACTTAATTTTGAACGTATTGTTTGTTATAGCTGCCTTAAATGGCAGTTTCATCCGCAAGACCGGCGGCCATTTTGGGCGCCATCTTTGATTTTAGGGCTTCTTGAGAGCCGCAGCGGAAAATGGACCTCATTTTCGGACTCTACGACCCTGAAAACCTAATAATTGATACCTCACAATGCATGTAGACCCGAGTAGGCAAATTAGTACCCGTAAGAGGTATTTTTGGACGCCATCTTGGATTTTGGCCTAAAAATGACCTTTGGGCTAACTTTTGACTGAAAATTCGGATTCTACGATCAAAAATA